ATGCCAGGAACAAGGGGCTAGTAACCCCTTCTCCTGTATATATTACTAAATTTAAAAGGAGAAACTTTTGTTTTTCCTTTTGGTTCACCTTGCCTCAGTGGAGTATGGCCTGTGCATTGAAAGAAAGAAGATATATTATTTTATATTCATGAGGAAAGGCTAAACCTGTAGAGGGGTTATAAAGCTCTTGGAAAAGTTGGGGTAACCAGATTTAATCCAAGGAAGGGGAGGTTATCTCCAATTTTTGATCAAGAGTCCTTCACTAGTTTCAGGGTACCCCTATTAAAAGGGTATGAATGTATAACCTTCTAGGTAGTAGGTTGGTAGACAGCAACCACCCAGGGAGGTACTACCGTCCTGCCAAGTGAGTGTAAAACAAAAGTTTGTAATTGTTTTACATGATGGTAGGATTGCTGGTGTCCTTTTTTCTGTCTCATAAAAATGCAAGATTTCAGATACGTCTTGCTACTTCTACTTACACTTAGGTCACATTACACATACATGTACAAGCATATATACATATACACACACACACCCCTCTGGGTTTTCTGCTATTTTCTTTCTAGTTCTTGTTCTTGTTTATTTCCTCTTACCTCCATGGGGAAGTGGAACAGAATTCTTCCTCCGTAAGCCATGCATGTTGTACGAGGCAACTAAAATGCCGGGAGCAAGGGGCTAGTAACCCCTTCTCCTGTATAAATTACTAAATTTAAAAAGGAGAAACTTTTGTTTTTCTTTTTGGGCCACCCTGCCTCGGTGGGATACGGCCGGTTTGTTGAAAGAAAAAGAAAGAAGAATGTATAACCTCTCAACATTTCTAATTTTATTAGTGTGTAAGTAAATAAGTAAGTTTATTTAGGTATAGGTACACATAAGTATAATTATCATACATAATTTAACATATGTGTAATTTACCTAGGATTATACAAAAAAGTCAGAATGACTTTTCCATTCTTGATGCACCTGATTGACTGTAAATTCTGCTATGCATTTGGCACTCTGCCAGTGCCAGTTAAAAGAGACATTTCATTGATATTGCCAGTTTTCTGGTGGCAAAGCACACACTGCATGTCCAGGTTCGATTCCCAGCAAAGGTGGAAACATTGGGCTTTTCCTTACACCTGTTGTCCTTGTTTACCCATCATTAAAAATGGGTACCTGGGTGCTAGTCAGCTGGTGTGGGTCACATCCTGGGAACAAAACTGACCTAATTTTTGGGAAATGCTTTGCATAACAATGGCTTTCTATATACAGTGGACCCCCGGTTAATGATATTTTTTCACTCCAGAAGTATGTTCAGGTGCCAGTACTGACCGAATTTATTCCCATAAGGAATATTGTTAAGTAGATTAGTCCATTTCAGACCCCCAAACATACACGTACAAATGCACTTACATAAATACACTTACATAATTGGTCGCATTCGGAGGTGATCGTTATGCGGGGGTCCACTGTATATTAGTATGTCATTGATGTCAGCTAGGCCTGTGTTCCTTGTACATGTACTTGTAGAAATAAAGATATTATTATTAAGTTCTTCTACCCTTGTTTTCTGCTTCCATATCATTAACAAATTAGTCTTTTTCAGAGGCTGAGCAGTTTTATTTTATAGATATTTTACACTCTTTGACTTCCAAAGTTAGTTTAGACTGAGTATGTCAGTATGGTAATATCTTGGACTGCGGTGCTCGTTGATGGTTGCTGAGTTGCCACATTGATGTTAAATGCTTTCTTCATGGGTAGGTCTGAATTTCAAAAAGTCTTAGTATAAACCCTATTTCTTTTGTGAATTGGCTATGTATACAAACTCATAAATGCAGTTTGTTAACTGTTTTTATGGCAACAGCTGTATGCATCAGATTTTAACCAAGAACTTAAGTTCTTAATATATTTACTTCATACTCTCTTCAATTTAATATTCAGTCTTTCATTGCCTAGACTTTATTTCTTGGCAATGAAAGAGAGGTACAGGTGCCAGTGCACCTGTCATATACATGTGTGAGCTACTGTATTTACAGTTGGCAAAAGTAATGTTCCCTAAGTTTCCAAACCATGGAAGTGTGACTCACTCTTTCCACCACTCCATTATGAAGGATTTCTGAACTAGTCAGTATTGAATCTTCTTAGCATTTGAGGCTGAGACATGTGGAGGAAGGAGGATTGCCAGTGGAGAAGCTTACCTTTGAAGCATAATGTTAGATTCTTTTCAGATGTTGTCAGGGTGAGATGAACATCGAATGTTGACTAGAATGTATAATATCTCCTTAGTCTTTCTTCTAAGGCTCATTTATGAATTGTATCTTGGAGAAGAGCTACTCATTTTGAGGATGTAGTCTTGAACTATGTCTGTTGCAGCTGCATGAAAGAGCACAAATATGCATGCACATCAGAGAAAAAGTTATTTAACCCTTAAACTGTCCAAACGTAGATCTACGTTTTTTGCATTTGAAAACATGTAAAAAAACTTTGATCAACTTTTTTTTTTTTTATATATTTGAAAATATGTAAAAAAAAATGTAGATCTACTTTTGGAGCACTACACATGTGAACATAGATCTGCTTGGACAGTTTAAGGGTTAAGAATTCGTTGCTGGTGTTAGAGATTATACAGACATTAGCTGTTCCTAACGTGGTTTGTGGAATTTTATCACAGAAGTACTGTCATGTAAAAATACATTAAATAAAAAATTAGGCTTTTTTAAGAACATAATTGTTTAGGTAAAATAAATGCCTGATATAGAATTATCATGATCTCTTAAAAAAATATTGCTCAAGTTCATGTAAGCAATTTCATTTCTCTTGATGAAAAATGACACATCCTTGGGACCATCCAGATGACACCAGATAAGTGAAAGGATGAGAGAAGCCATCTAAAAGAAATTTCTTAATCAACATGGTACACATTTTTAGTGTACTACGTATAATCCAATTTTTTAATTATGGCATGTGGCTTGTCATTATGTAAAATATTGCCGTAGAGTGATGTGCTGTAATAATTTCGTAGAGACTTTGGGAAATTAAGGCTCTGCATCCATAGGGGATCTTTGTGAAAGGGAGCTGAATAACCTGCATGGGTTTAGCACTTTCTTTAAGAATAATAATAATGATAATGATTTGTGTCAGAAAAATAAGTAGGAAAGTATTTCTTTAGCCTTGGGTTGTTGGCAAATGGAATAACTAGCCACATGTCTATGATACATCCAACAAAATCGGCAAACTCTTGGACGTCACTACCACCCGGCTCCAGCTGGGATACAACTACCTCTGGGAGGATGCACGTCACAGTAGTGTTGCTTGAAATTTGGATGTACAGACTCGCCTTATTTTTTTTTATTTGACATGCCTTTTAACAGGTGACCATGCAAAAAAGGGTTTTTTCTTTTCTTACAATATAAACACACAAAGTACTTCATGCTTTATAGCTTCACATAGACATATCTGTATTATTTTGGAAATAAAATATTACTGGTTACAATTTTTGACACATTCACTTTAAATCTAAAGGAATGTATATATCTTAGGAACTGTTATACAGTAGTATAGAATACTGTATACTGTACAGTGTATTTTCTATGGAGTGTATCTTGCAGACAGATGCCATCTCCTTGCTGATCTGCCACCATTTGAAATATTGTTATATAACATATCATAAAAGATATCGCATTTTAAGCCAAAGAAACAGAGAAATCCATAATTACTGGGTAATGAAGGTAATTGAACAAGTTTAAGTTTCAACTCCTGACCACCAGAGCCTCGCATGTAAGCCACTCGCCCTCATGCTAGAGTACACAAACCTGAAGCCATCACCTTATCACTTACAGCCTTGACTTCAAGAAGAAGCTTTTATGAGTATTACTCTTCACATATGTAATGTACATCAGAAAAGAGTAATCTTCCTAGAAGTTGTTCCATAGGCATTTTATAGTTTTGTTATTTATAGGTGATTCTGATTTAACATTCAGTGGGAAGTTTTTTAAGTAGATTCGTTGGGTCTTACCTTTGACTTGGACTTAAACTTTTTGTATTAAAGACTATTATTATTTATTTTATTATTATTACCATTATTATTATTATTATTAGTTTCATTATCATTGTAGTGAAGGCATAATATGTGTGGGTAATGGGTCAGGTTTATGAATAATGATAACATCTTAATATAGTGACTGGCTCCTTGATAGTGACTGATGAAATAGACCTTTTAAACAGTATCCACAATGCATCTGCTAAATCATTTACATATACTGTACAACTGAAACAAGGCACTAAGAAATTTATGTAATACTGTACAATACTAATGGGACATTTTTAATTATCTACCTTTCTCATGTTGACCTTTTCACCCATTGTGTGCAACAATATTTTTGCATAATTTGTTTTATAAACAAAAGATAATGTTGGTGTTTGTGGATGGCGGTTGTAGATTTTTAAGTTTAGATGTAGAGTGATATCTACACTCTGGCAGACAAAGGTTATAAAAAGAAAAATTGAGAAAATCCAGCACAACACTCATGAAAATTGCGTGGCAGTATCTTGTGTCACATGTTTCTCTGAGAATGACTACTCATCACATGATCCCTATGTAGTAGATACTAGATTGAAAAAAGATATTCATAAGGTTAAGATTCTGAGCTACAGAGCATAAAGGACTTGTCCTTAAAAAGTCAAGTGAGTTACGACTGTCATGCCACGACTCCTTCACAGCCTCCTTCCTCTTTTATCCCGCATCTGGTTTATTTCTTTATTCTAGTTGTCATTGATGTTTATAAATTACACTCAAATTATATAATAAAACCTGATGTTCAAGTCGATGTTTGTAGGAGTTCGAGAAATGGAAGCTATTGTTGAAAATATTTGTTAAGGGCATTAGTTCAAGGAGTATAAGTAATATTATAAATAATCAAATTATCAATTATATATTATGCCTAGCTAATCTAGGTAAACTATAGCTTCCATATTTCGAGCTATTCACCCTCCCCTGACCCCCAATGGTGGCACCACAGAAGCCCAGTTTGTTTGCGCGACTGATGGGCATAGCAGCACCTGCCGCACCGAGCAAGAGCACCCACGCATCAAGGACCAGCCTCTCCCGTTCCATTGATGAGCAGCAGGACTCCCAGGGACACCAGAGTCGTCAGGACAGCCTCTCCCAGTCCAACGTAAGGTAGGGCGTCGACAACTCTTCATCTACGGCCACGACCCTGTAATGATAGCAAGGGAAGACTGGTCTCCAAGATGTTACCTGATATATCATGCTAATAAAAATGTGGATTATATTGATGAGTAATTGTGAAACAGTCACCACATTCAAATACTGGATGTATCTTTTAACAAAAGCAGCTGTTTAGATAATCATGTACAATACATACAGTATTTCTTATCATCCCCTTAATATTTTATAATTTTTCCACAGGAACCTTTTTAGTTGTTTCCAGATTCAGATTGTGGTGACTGTCATTTTATAAGTACTGTTAACATCCTTGTGGACAGTATTTAATAAAGTACATAATAATCCACAGTTTATATAAACACTCATATTATGCTTCAATCTTCTCCGTTTTGCAGCATAGACAATGTACTTGGTAGTGACAAAGGGTCGAAAAAGTCCCTGACGTTGTTGGGTGGAGGCAGTGCCTCGAAGCGTGGCTCAGACCACGACGGGTCGAGTGTGGCCAGCTGGCAGGTTTGGTGCTAGCCGTCCTCGCGTTGCATGGTGTCACCAGTGTCTACTGCCGCATGGCTCATTCCATCACTCATTCTTCCCATTCTTTATCTGCCACTCTTAGAGAATAGTACTTTGTTAAAATTTTATGGAATTCGCAACGATAAGTTACACAAGTATTGATTATGTATTTTTTCAAACTTGATTTATGTTTAATCAAATTTACTAGATGGCACCAATTACTAGAGAGTACCTATATCTTATAAAAATTAATGCAAATTATTCATTAAATTTATTCAAAATTTTGTTTACCCCTTAAACACTTAAATCATGAAAAATTACTTTTACATTATTCAGGCAGTCTATAAGTTTTCAATACAGTAGCATTCAAAAAACTACTGACAAGATATGTGCATATTTACCTATTTGCAGCTGCACATCCATAGTTGTAATGATGTTGGTAGAATTACTGACAATATGTTAGGTAAAAGGACACAAGTGTTACTAATGTAGTACTTTATTGTGGCAACATTTTGCTCTCCAGGAACTTTGTCAAGTCATAAAGGCTTGACAAAGCTCTTGGAGAGTGAAACATTGCCACAATAAAATATTGCATTGTTGCATATATGTCCTTTTACCTAACACATTTATAGTTATACGAGTAGAACTGTGGTGTCCCATCATTGCTATATACCTTTTAATATATTTTTTAATGTTACAGTGGCTGTAACACTGACTCTCTTCTTCTAGATCCCCCATCCAATATTCCGCCACTCTTTGAAGAAAACTTTATTAAATTTTTTCAGGAATACCTTTTCTCCATTTACTCTTGCAGCTTTTTGTTTCCCATTTGTGGTGGTAAGAAGTCTGCTTAATCTGTTGTCTCATATCCTCTTGTGAACTTATATGTGATTATCAGATCTTCTCTTAAACTCTATTAAGCAGTGATGATATTTTAAGTGTTTTTGTCTTTCTTTGCAACTCATATTTTTGTTTAGCTCTGTGAGCCATCTTGTAGTCTTCAAACATATTCAATCTTCTCTGTGTATTTCGTAGGTGTAGCCACTACACTACCACTGCATAGGTAAATTTTGGTCACATGTATGTTGTGATCAGTATTTTAACTTTTCACTTTCCATATGTCTAAAGACTATTTTGATGTTTACCAGTGTAGCATATGAGCATTGGTGATCTTCCAGTGACATTGTTTTATCTATAATTGCTCCCAGATGCCTTTTTCTGTCTTGACATTTGCCACATTTTATCAGTCACAACCCAGTACATTTAGTAAATAAATCTGGAATAAAATGCACATAGAATATTAAAAATATATATTAGTTAAACTGAGAATAAATACAACATAAACTAATTATTTGAGGATAATGCATATATGCATAGAAATGCCCCAGCTCAATCATTAAATCATAGTCATCTGTATAACTCTCACTTCCACTATGTTATAACTAATACATATAGAAAAGCATTTGAACATGTTTGCTCATCTGAATTGTTTTTTGCTGCTACTGTTGCTGATTCAAAAGTCACTGTGGAAACCTTGGTGTTCCCTCATATTCAGCATGACTGTTGATGAACAAGTGATTCAGCTTGGCTAGTAGTCTGGTAGGGTGTTAAACTAGATTAAACACATGGAAATATGTTCGGACATGAATCATAATACAGTGGTCGGTTAAGGTATTACTTGGCATGGGTTGGCTTAGGATACCAAGCTCTCTTCCACCTGATTGTACCACCAAACAGCCTTCTTTCTTAACTCCATATTCTCTACATAATATTCACATCACACATTGGTCTCAGACACATTTCCTTTGTCTCCACTTCTTGCAATGTTTAAGAAAATTGCTTCACACCCATACAAAAGCTTTGTGCCACTATATATTGATGCATTTTTCTTTTTGCATTCTTAGACAAACTAAATTCTTTCTACAGCCTCCTCAACACTTGTTACTTGCTTTCCCTAATCAGTCCTGGGACTTGCCTCACCTTTCATAGTCCCATCTACTGAAACATCTACATATTGTACTTCCAAGTATAATACACTTCATCCATACTCCTTCCTTCCACTCTCATTTCCCAGACTACCTCCTACTCTCACTACCTTGCTCTTTTTTTTTCAGATTCTTTTACTCACCTTTCTAAATTCTGGCACCCACTTTTGCATCTTCTCTTTGAAATCACCCAAAATCAGGGTTTCATTAGAAACAGAAACAACTTAAAAAATAAAGTACCATGATGGCATTACACATTTGTGTCTAAAATCCACTTTTATCAGAAAATTTTACCTTTCTTCCTATTTACTCTAACTTGTGCCACATTCTCATAATAGTAAGACATTTTTGAATAACAAAAATGCATTATTACATATAAGGTGACACTCAGAATGCATTACACTTACATTCACACCAAATATTCACCTCTCATGGCCCCATTATAATGTGTTACACTCTTCTATGCTCAGTAGTTTCCTCTTGCCTCTTCCTACCTATCCATACTCCTTTTTTTGTGGTTGCCAATAGTACTTGGATACTTACACATTGCTCAAGACTCCAGTTAGCAGCTGGAAAACAGCAGCAGGGAGGAGCTGAAGGTGTGGTATATGTAGAATTTCCTACAAATGTTTTTTTAATTCAAAATATATTATTCTGCAATTAGGCCTACTTGGAATCATGCCACAGCACCCAAGACAGAGGGGGCAGCTGTTGAATGGAGGCGGGAATTCAAGAGGGTTGATCATATTGGTTTAACATGACCACACAGGGTTGCTGAATGGATGTAGTGTGGATAGACATCTATTCAGTTTTGGCCCTTGGCAAAGACTGTACTAGGTAGTAGAAGTCAGCATTGATGATGTCCTTCCAGATCACAACAACCTTGAGCATTGCACGCACTCCATTCACTTTAACATGCAAAAGAAGGCAAGCCTGTATGCACAGTTCCAAAACCTTTTTTTTTTCCCCAAAAACACACATGGATGCCCAACCAATGAATAGGACCAAGAACTCATTCCACCCTACCTGGTTTGCATCACCCTAGCACTTGGTTTTTGTTTTTTTTCTTATTTTCTTGGATTAGATTTGCATCCTTTTCATTAACTTCATGGGTGGAGGATTGTCCTCTTTAATTGGATCTTTGACAATCCTGTTCCTTGAGACAAAGGACTGTAAGTTTATAGTTGCCCTCTATATCCCTCATCATCCCACTACATTTCACTCATATTTATGTGTTCTTCGGTACTGTAGGGGCTTGTGATTATGCTTAGTGTCCTGGTGCTTGGTGTACATTTACTGGAAGGGTTGAACTGACCCCGCAAGGCTATATTGGTCATCCTCTTCATGATATAGTCATTATCAAAGATTTTATCAAGTGCATTGGGCTGGCATAATCAGCCATCCAATTAAATGACGCTTTTATAAGGTTGGGGTATTTTCTTCTCAATTAGCTCCCTAATTGTTATGATTCTAGATGGAGCTCCCTGGGATCCCACCTATTATGTTAAAGATCATCTTTAACCCTTTCAGGGTCCGTCCCGTAGATCTACGGCTTTACGTTCAGGGTCACCGTAGATCTACGTCATGAGCTCAGCTCACTCTGATAAACTGTGAGTGGTACATTTGGGCCTAGATAAGAGAGAATACATCTATGTGGTATGTGTGCACCACATAAAACAGATCCTGTAGCACACTGTGTATAATGAGAGAAAAAAAATGAAATCATGATTTTTCGATTAAAGCAGCGACTTTACAGTGTTTTTTCGTATGTTTTTTATAGTTGTATTTGCGATTTCTTGGTCTCATTTGATAGAATGGAAGACATATTACAGAAATAGGGATGATTTTGATTGGTTTTAGCACTGGAAATGGCTTGGAACTGAGCTCAAAGTAGCAGAAATGTTAAATTTTTGCCGATATTCAAGAGTAAACAAACTACCTCACACGTCTAATACACGCCAGCTGGTAGGTCTGATATACATTCACAAATATGGTGATGATATTTATACAATTATTACAGTATTGCATAACAGTAAATCTTCTATTTTTTGGTGTGAATAAAAATTCATTATGTGAATAAAAAATCAAAATGGAATTTATTTGTAAAGCTTCAAAACGTAACTAATGAACAGATGAAATGTTAGTTTAGTTCCAGGAATACCTACATTGTTTATTCTGGACCCTATTTTGAAATTGGAATATTTTGAAATTTGTGTTAAATTGGCCAAATTAACAATTTCCGATCACTTTAATTTGTAGTTGAAACAGTTGACTTGGCGATTTCTTGTGCTCAATCGATAGAATAGAAGTAGTACTAGTGAAATAGTTAAGAATTTGGTTGACTGGAATAACGTAATTGGCCTAAAAAGGGAGTCAAAGTCGGCAAAATCGCCGATTCGTAAATATCGCTGACACATCAAAATTTGCAAGAGCATAATTTCGTCAATTTTCCATCAAATTTTGTACTTTCTGTTTTATTACCTTCACAAAAAGATTTTCTACCATTTCATAAGAAAAAATAAAAAAAAATTTTTTTTTAAATTCTTGGGACACTAGGGCACCACTTCAGATTTGGGCCTTGGACCCTGAAGGGGTTAAGATAAAACGTACAATAGACCATCATTTAACCCTTTGACTGTTGCAAGCCCCTTTCTGAAACTGTCATTCTGTGTCACAAAATTTTTGGAAAAAAAAAATATTTTTTCTCATGAAATAATAGAGAATCTTTTCCCGATGGTAATGACACCAAAAGTGCAAAATTTGGTCGAAAACTCATGTAATTATGCTCCCACAAAGTTAGCGGTCTTGGCGACATATACGCATTGGCAATTTCGCCGACTTTGAGCCCTGTTTTTGGCCAATTCCATTGTTCCAGTTGATCAAACTCATAGCTATTTCTATAGAAACCCAATTTTTCTATCAGTTGAGTACAAGAAACTGCCTATTTACCGATTTGAACTACCCAATGAAGTGGTCGGAAATTGCATTTTGGCCAATTTCACGCAAATTAAAAAA